TTAGCACGGCAGTATAGGTTACCATGGGTTGCCGTTAGTTAGTCTCTTGCCTACCTCCTTTGTCCATTGCTACAACAAGCTTCCACCGATAGGTTCCCCCATATCTCTTTTGTTTTCTTAGTCGATGGTTTTGTCGATCATTTTCAATAATCAACCCTCAGCTGAAGAGGTGGTGAAGATATAGAGATGGCAGCTTCCGGACTGTCTCTAACATGACAGATATCAGGATCGGTTATAGGCGTCGCAGAACGTCCTAGTGAGCTGTTACAGCGACTGATACATACATGACGTCATGAAATTATAGGACGTCATGAAGTTCCATGAGGCCGTGTAACTCCATCATATTCGTAAATGGACGTATTTCTACCAAACAGACCTATGTGGCGATGAGAAATGTGGGGTGTGCTCTTGGAAGCTGCATAAGAAGCAATGTAAAAGTGGGCGTGGTTCCTTTTGAAGAATTGGCTGAATGCGGAACTCATGAGCCGCGGGCATGGCAAGAGAGCGTTGTGGACAGGGCTCATGAGTTAATGACCACGACTACCGCAACCACGAGGAACGTGACGCGGCGTCCTCCTCCGGTGACGTCACTGGCGCTTTATTATTCTCATTCACTCTTACGGCCAGAGACTAACGAGCACACCCCATATTTCTCACTTCCACATAGGTCTGTTTGGTAGAACTACGTCCAAATATCGCTGGCAATTGGTCAAATCAGACGTTTCGTCAAATGCCTAGGCAGATATTCAGACCTTGACGAAAGGTAAATTTACGGCGAAGAGCTCACAAGTTTTCGATATTTTACGCAGAAGAACTCATCAAAGCTACCAACTCTCCTTGTGTCTCTCACTTCAAATGCTTTTCATAAATGTTTTCGTTAAGGTTGTAGGAATTCTGTGTTCTAAAACATGCTGAAAATTTCGAGGTGAATGTTCCTTCAAGAGCTAAAATCGTTGAAAAAAAAAACAATTGCATGTTGCACATTTCCACACAGAATTTTTTCTTACATTAGCAATGAATTATCTTGTCCAAAATTAGGAAAATAATTAGGATTTCAATCCAAGTGTAAAAGTTTGACCATTTTAAAAGTTTCTAAATTGCCTGATTCGACCATTCCGTCGCTTGGCTGTCATGAGGACGTAACTACACATTGAGATGAGCCCGGAAAAGCATTGTTTTGTATGGTAGACAGGGTTCATTGCAAAGTGTGGTTACGCCCTTATGTCAGGTAGGCGACGATTTACCTGTGACAAATCGACGGTGAAACTCGCAAACCGCGTATCTAGTTTGCGGTGTGCAACATCTCGGCTCTGTTTTATTTTTGTTTATGGAGAACTAATATTCCTCATTCCTTGAACTTTTCAAAGAATCTTCTTCGCCCACAGGAGATAATTCACGGACATTTTTAAGAATTGACGCTGAAGAGTTTCCGTTTACAAAATAAAGAAGGACAGGAAGTCTGCAACGTCGCGAGGCGAGATACGTGGTTTGGAAGTTCCATGGTGGATATACAAGGCGACATACTGCACCAAGTGTACTAGGAAAATCCCTTCCATGACTTGGAGAATCGACGAAAGGCACATGTTCCGCGTGTATATTTTTCAGTGCGGACGTTTTAAAGACTCTTCTGCGGGCCGGAGTCCTGCGATGATAAAAACTCGATTGAGCACGTCTCGGGACTCGGGAGTGTGTGAATTATTATACGAGTGGCGACCCGATGATGACATCGAGCGATTAATATTTCAACAGCTCACTTCAGGAGCCCCCTTCAGAAAATCCAATCAAGTTCGCACCATCTCTTACGCGTCACGCTGCCAAATCGCATCCTGGAATTCCGCAAAACAATTCACCCATTTCCCTAATCAACGATCGGCGGGAAAACTTTCTGGTCATTTGAAATAACAACATTTTCAGTCCAGGTAACTGAAGTTTTCAGTCATGGGAACCGAACTTCAATTCCGGTAACTCAAGTTCTTGATAGCAATACTGAGACTTGTTTTATACAGACGTTTTCGGTTATCTGAACGGAAGTTTGGTTCGTAAAAATGTTAACTTCAGTTAATTTGACCAAAGACAAACTAAAGCCATCATAACATCGCCATTTTAATGTGTATCCAAAACTTTCAGCAGGCTTTTCTATTTAACATCGTTTTTTGATCTTGAGGTACACTTTTCTTAAGATCTACTGGCTAGATTTTTAAAACTTGTTTTTGTTTTTTTCCGAACCTTTTCCTTTAACTTGGCGGAACCTCCTTTTAATTGGCGGATCCAGCAAGTTGACAATATTTTCTTTTCTCCATTTAAACCTATGGAAATGTATCAATTCTTGGAGGGATCGGGTGCTCCGACAAGAATCGATTACTTAGCATAGCTTTAAGTGGACGAAATCCGAAATTGCTGAATCCGCCTCTGCAGAAGAAAAGGTTTTCTATTTACTCTTCAAGAAAGAAAAAATCAGTCGGAGGGGCCTATCAGTTAAAATTTTTTCAATTTCTTTCAACACTCAGGACAATCTCGATTCTTGGAATGTTCAAAAATCCTCCCGTCTAAATTCGGAAAAGTCTATGAATTCAAACAAAAAATAATCTGTTGATAATCTACTTAGTAGAATTCGAAAAAATATCTTACCATAGGTAAATTTTAAATTGTGAGGATAGAAAATCATGACTCCCCTTGACACCCTTAAAAGGGGAATCGTGCAATTAATGAGTGGTTTCACGATAACTGGAATAGTTTCGTTGCCGTAACAGACAACACATTTTTCGGTCATATGTTTAGTAGAAATGATGATCACTCGAATTTTGTCGCATTAATCTTCAAAGTGTTATGTATCATAAAGCTTTATAATGATCTATTGCTCTACTTCTCAATTAATATTATGTAAATCCGGAAAATGTGCTGTCTGTTCCGCGGTAAAAAGTCGGCGGAACAGACGGCACATTTTCGGCCATTTATAAATTAAAATTGAAAAGTAGAGCGATAAATCTTTGAGCAGCGTTATAACACGTAACTCTGCATACATTAGTGCAAACAAATTCGAGTTATTATCATTACTACTAAAAATATGACCGCAAAATGTGTTGTCTGTTACGGCGACAAAACCATTCCAGTTATCGTGAAACCACCCTAATACGAGCAATAACCACGAAGAAAGGGGGTAGGGGGAAAAATACGTAACGTGAGCACCCTCGATGCAATTTTAAATAAGGTGGTTCAGAAAAGAGTGAGAGATTAAACTCCCCCGAGGCCCCGGCTAACTGGAAACAGCGCTTAAGTGCCTTTCGAAGTTTGAGGTGGCGCCTGAATGGAGAAGTGACGGAACAGCCGGTAAAAGTACGAGGGAGCGAACTGGTAACCGCGCCGTTGACATTAATTACCATAAAAGGTGAAGTTTTTTGTCAATATTTTTCCGGACGCCCGCGGAGCGAGCTGGAGACTCGATCATAAGGGGGAGGCGTGGGGGAGCGCGGAAGGGTCTCAAATTTCAAGTTTGGGGGATTCGAGCGGCGGTCGGGGTGGGGGTGGGAAAGTGCCAAAAAGGTCCCCCGATTCCGAACACTGAGGCGGTGCACCGCACAGTGGATCGAGTCAATAGGAGAGGTCGGACATTTGGAAACTTTAACAGCTTACAACTCCACTAAATCAAAACTTTGAGATTTTAAAAGTGGTTCCATTGGTTTTCTCGTGAAATTTTCTTCTGGAGGAGCCCCTTAAAATTCATACTTGGACAAATTAAACATCAAAATTTGCGGTTGTAATGAACAAATTCATGTCCGACCTCTCTAATTGACTCGGTCCACTGTGCGACCGCGCTAGGAAAAAATCCCAGTCTGGAGAAATTCCATGCATAGAAAAGGGGGTTTCAAGAGAATGTTTCACTTTTCGTTACAGAATGGAGCCCTCCCCCCAAAAAAACTGGAACACATGAACACAAATCAGCAATGGATCAGAGGATAATGTACGGATTTATGTATTATTCTCATAAGTGTCCTTTAATCAAAAATTCACATAGAACACGATTCGCGCAACAAAAATTCCTGTATCTAGCACCTAGCTAAGATATATATTGTTTCTTGACGTGCAAATTCAAACCTCCCCCGTTCATTCAAAAAAATAAATGTAAAATAAATGAGAGTCAAACCGCACAGTAAACGCGTCTCTGCGTAGTCTCTGCGTTACGAATAAATGACAACCTCTATCTTAACGCTTCGGCTCAGCTGTTGCACGCAGTTAAAACGTTGAAAAAAAAAAAAGGCGGGGAATGAAAATTGATTCATGAACAAGCTTTCTAAAACCGTTGCCGTGAGCAATTTGATTTAAGCAGGCTGTTATTTTTCGTGTGAGCGGGGAGTTTAAATTTCCCGTAACCAAGGTAAACTAGAAACTTTGAGATTTTGTTCAGGAGTTGATTTCAGTGATTTCCGATGCGCGAATCGTGTTATACGTAAAATTTTCGTTAGGAAACATGCGATAGAATGCTAAAAATTCGTGCATGGTCTACTGCTCGAGTAGGAAATACTGTTTCGGCTCATTCATAAAAGCACATACCTGTGCGAACCAACTACGACACGAATAGCAACTTTGATCCAGTTTTAATACTGCGTGCGAAATTAAATATCAAAGTATCATTGAGGTTTCACCCAAAATGAGTTAAGTAATATCGAAAATTGGCAAGTTGAACCAGTTAGGGGGGAAAATCATTGTTCCCAGTGTTTTAGCCGCATGTCGTAGGATTAGGAGGACTCTGCACAGTGGCAAGCGATACCAGTCCATTTGCGTGGGGCTGTGCGCCTTCATTTTCATCTGATACTTTGCAATACTTCTGAGGCGGAATAGTTGCTCAGAGCGCCTTCGACGGTATCGCTTCGGTTTGATGGCAGACACGACAATTACCCGGGTTTTCCCGGTTTTCAAAAAACTAGACACCATAATCTAAGCATATGTTCTTGTTGTGAAATTCGAATTGAAGCATGTATCTTGTGTTTTTTTGTTTTTTGCAGACGCAGTCTCGTCGGCCTCGGGCGTTGAGAAGATGACGACGACGGTGAGTCTGCCGGCCTCGTGCTGTCACGGGGCGGCGGCGGGGGGCGGCGGGGCCTCTGCGGGGGGTCCGGGGCGGCCGGTGGCGGAGGCGCTGCGCCCGACGCACTACGTCCACTCGACGACGACGACGACGACGCCGGCGCCGCCCTCGACGACCTCCGAGTACGAGCGGGACATCTCCCTCTACAGCCAGATCTTCCACTGCCCCGGGGCCGGGGCCGGGGACTGGGAGGCGCCGCCGGGCGCGCCCCACGCCCGCCCCCCGCGCCCCCTCGCCACCCCCTACAAACAAGGCTGCCACGACCGCGTCGCTCAGTGGATCAAGTCCCGCGCCGACATCCTCTTCGTCCTCGGATTCTGCGTCATCTCCTTCCTCAAGCTCTGCTTCCTCGGCATTCTCAGGTCAGTCTCTCCACGCACATATATGAATAAAGTAGCTCTTAAGGACCTAGCAACATCCTCCGAATCCCGTTTTTGTATGTATGAGCCGCTTTTACGGCGCGCTAGGGCGCTCTGCGACGGCTATTCTCCACAGGAATCTGTCATGGTAGAGATCCTCCGGAAGCTGGCATCTCTCCATCTTCATGGATGCCCTCTACCCACCGTTTGGCTGGACGCCCTCTCCGTCGCCTACCTGGGGGGACCCACTCCAACACCTTCTTCGGCAACCTGGTATCGGCCATTCTCTGCACATGCCCATACCATACCAATTGCTTGGTCAATCCCGTTTTTCTAACTGCAATAACCGTTAAAAAAGTAAACGGCCGTCTCCAGACTTTTGCCGCATCCTATATACTTCAAGTAAGGAAATGACTCTTACCTAAGTACGTACGAGGAGCCATCCAGTCAAGAGAACCTTTCAAATTGAAACAAGCGAAATCATTACATTTTGAAAGTTACACGTATATATCACTGTAGACGTTTCGATGCCCGGACAGACACCATACATTATATTAAGCCGCTTCTACAGCACAGCCTCGCGCCCCGCGACGCCCAATCGCCATCCTCCCCTATCGCCATCCTCCCCTATCGCCATCCTCCCCTATCCTCCCAGAGACTATCAGGCAATTAATTGGCACCTCCTCATCTCCTCCTCCACTCCCTGTCGTCAACCTTTCACAGGACGTCCACGCCGTCGCCTTCCGGGAGGAACCCAACCGAAATACTGATTGGGCAACCGATCGTCTGCCATTCTTCGCACTCGCACATGTCCATACTAGACCAACTCCTGATATCGTGCACGATGTCATTCTCCGCACACAAACACCATCATCAGCGCAAAAAAGAGAACAATTGCAAATTCAAACATGATAGCAAACATTGTAATTTTTTTTTGCACTGATGATGGTGTTTGTCCGGGCATCGAAACGTCGGTTGTATTTACGTGTAACTTTCAAAATTTAATAAACATGCTTGTTTAAATTTGAAAGGGTTCTCTTGACTGGATGGCTCCCATACTGCACATACTTAGGCAACAGCCATTCCTTTCCTTTACACACTTATATACATATTCTTTCACAAAGATTCAGGCTCGTCCCGCTCCCACAGCTCCCTCCTTAAACGGGCCCACATTAAAGTACCTATATATCCTCCTCACCTTCCGGTCAAAGTATCACAAGTCCCATGCCACGTTTCAAAATTTCCGCCGCCATTTTATTTTGTACAGAGATATTGTTGGCTGTATCTGTTGGAAATAGTCACTGTATTTTATCGGTAGCACAAAGAAAATTCAGTGAAATTTTAGGACAGCTTTGTCGAAAAATTTTCTGTAAATAAATAAAATGGTGGCGGGAATTCTAAAACATCGCATGGCGCTTGTGGTTTCATCATCAACCCGTTCAAACCAGCTAGGTTTTATGCAGCGATGAACCATTTTTTCTTTCGTTCGAGATATTGAATTCCCCTTTTGGAGTTTATAAAAGGCAAAGGGGAGTTTGAAAAGCTGTCGTCTCCAGATGTTCGGGGGAATGTGTCAGGTTCGCCGGTCGCGAGGTGGAGATGTTGAGAGTAGAAAAGGTACGCGGACAAGTGGCATAGCGGATAAAACCCCCGCTGCACAGTGGATCGAGCCAACGGGAGAAGTCGGACAAAATTTGGAAACTTCAAAAGCTTATAACATCGTTTACACAAAACTTTGAGGTTCTGTGAGTGAATCCATTGATTTTCTCGTGATATTTTATTCAAGAGGCATCCTTCAAAATCTAAAATAAGACTAAATATACATCAACGTTTGCAGTTTAAATAAACAATTTTACGTCCAACCTCTCTGATTGACTTGATCCACTGTGCGGCGCAGAGTGGGTCGTGTCAATTAGAGAGGTCGAGCATGGAATTTTTGACTAAAACTCCAAATTTTAATGGTTATTTCGTAACACTTTAAATGTATGCCAGATACTCTGCTAACAGAGATGAAAAATCACGGAGAAACATTTTACGTTGACTAGTTATCCGAAGAAAAAATAGATTTTGACAAGTAATCTGCAACGTCGCAAACGGAGATACGTGGTCTCTCAATTCGGTCATCGGAACGTAGAAAACTGAAGGCATTGCGGCTCTTTTCGCACCGACTTTATTCGTCCGTAACAAGAAGACTAGGACGCGCCGACAACGGCGCCTTGATACAACTATACAACCTCGACGGATGTCCATATTGCGTTCAAAAAATTGAAGGCGTTTTGAATTTCAGCGTACTGACTGCAGCGCTTGATTAACGGACGCGTTGGTGACAAGATATCGCCCTGATGCCTATTCAAGCTTTACGGATGTTCGTATCACATATCGATGGTCGGAGTACAGTATCACGTATCTACATTGCGGTGTTTCAAAATTTCCGTTTCTATTTTATTATTTCGATGGGAAGCAATCGAACGTTACAACTAAAGGACCCTACAACAAAACGGCCAAATCGGCCTAAACACGGAATCCTACGATTTTCTCAGGGATGAAAGAGGGTCACCCCGGACACTCAAAACTGGTCATATTTTTTGCCTAACCCCCAGGGAAAAGGGGGAGAGGGGGTCAAAGTCAAAACCTTTAAATTAGCATAACTTCTCAACGGTTTGTCGTAGAAAGATGAGCTTGGTGCCAAAATTTCCAGAAAAATGAGAGCTTTCAGAATATATGTATGAAATTAATAAAATTTTAAATTTTGACCCACTTTTGGGGGAATTATACAAGGTCCCGGTCCCCCTTTAGTAAATTTTCGTTTTTCGATATTTTCGGTCGTTCGGTTCGCACGGAGGAAGACAAAAACAACCCGAAATGAAAGTAGAGGTCATAAGGTTTAAAACAAGTCCAAGTTCATTTTGGGGAAACGATTAAAAGCGGAGTATGAGTCTTCAAAGTTGACGCGGCGCCCGGGAACCTCGTATGTTCCGAGTCTCAAGGTCACCTGCGCCCCCCGGATTGCCTGCAGGTTGCAAGTTTTTGTGTTTTTATGCTTCTGTAGGTCATTTTTAATGTAAATCATTCAATGAAGATAGAATAACCGAAATTTTTTAATTTTACGGGAGGAGCGAGAGGGGGCTTAGAGTATCAACCATTATGTCCATCATACCTCATTAAACATTTGCTGACGATGGCGATTCTGCTCTTATAATTTAGAAAAAAACATGGACCCTCAGTTCAAATATACATATGATCCATACAGAACTGAACCATTTAGAAATTATAACCCATTGATGCAAAATTTGGGGTACCCCTAATTTTAAAATTTTTTAATTGAACTATAAGCTACAGCGCTTGACGGAACTTACTTGGTAAAGCCAAATAGTTTCTCGTAGAGGCAGACGAGCTTTGAGCTTCAAAACAAGTCTGAGTTATTCTTGAGGGGGCAATTTGAAACGCAGTTAAAATTTTTTAACGTTAATGTGGTGTACCTCACCGAAGGCCCATTGTGTAAAATTAAACAATTCAGATTGTACTATCTTCATTGAATGATTTACATTAAAAGCGACCTACAGAAGCATAAAAACACAAAAATTTGCGATCTGCAGGCAATCCGGGGGGCGCAGGTGACCTTGAGACTCGGAACATACAAGGTTCCCGCGCGCCGCGTCAACTTTGAAGACTCATAACTCCGCTTCTAATCGTTTCCATAAGATGAACTTGGGCTTACTTTAAACCTTATAACCTCTACTTTCATTTCGGGTTGTTTTTGTTTTCCTCCGTGCGAACCGAACGACCGAAAATATCGAAAAACGAAAATTTACGAAAGGGGGACCTCCGACCTCGTATAATTCCCCCAAAAGTGGGTCAAAATTTAAAATTTTATTATAGAGAGGTCGGACATGGAATTTTTGACTAAAACTGCAAATTTCAATGTTTATTTCGCAACACTTTAAATTTTAAAGGGGGCTTCTTGAAGAAAATTTCACGAGAAAATCAAAGGAGCCATTTTCAGAACCTCTAAGTTTTGTTTAAACGGAGTTAAAAGCGTTTAAAGTTTCCAAATTTTGTCGGAGCTCTCCTATTGACTTGATCCACTGTACGCCACTCGGGCTCCGGCTCCCGTGTTTCCCGGAGCACGAGCTTTCCTTTATCCGGTGGACCGGAACCGCTTTTGCTGCTGCATTACTCTCTCAGCTTTTAATTGCATTATAAAATGTCCTGAGTCGTGTTCCCACCCAAGTTGCGGCGCGAGGCAATTACAATCCTTCAGTTCCGAACTCCCAACTCCGAACTGCAGATTTCGGCAAAGCGCATCGTCTAATTTTAATCCTCTCGAGTTCATTTAACACGAGATTCTCGAGTAATCACATCAATTAATCGTCACCTTCCAGCCAAATTATCACAAGCGCCATGCGACGTTTCAAATTTTCCGCCGCCATTTCATTTGTTTACAGAGAAATTCTTCAACGAAGCCGTCCAACAATTCCACTGAATTCTCTTTGGGCTGCTGCTAAAATTCAGTTCAATTTCGAACAGATTCAACCGAAAATTTTTTTTAAAAAAAATAAAACGGCGGCGGAAATTTTGAAACGTCGCATGGCGTTTGTGAAATTTTGGCTGGAAGGTGACGGAATACTTTGAGGGCCGTATTCGTAGTCGTTCCTTAGACAGTTCCCTTGGGAGGCTCCTTAGATTAATGTTGTGATTAAGAATGGTTTCAGGAGATCCTTCACGTAGTATCATAAAAAGGACAATTTGTGTGAAACTTGAGTAAATATCAGCAGTGACTTCCTAGAAATGGATCACGGAAAAAAAGAGAATGGGGTTGTTGGATAATATGGACATTTCCATTTCTTGAATTTGTACCTTGTTTAATAATCCATTCAATCTAGAATAGCGAATATGGACAACTTCCTAACTTTTCTCGGAGAAAATATTTTATCGGGAGAAACAAGGCAGCGTTGAAATACTCATACGGCGTAGAAACACAACACGGGCCTTATAAGCCACAT